CTCTCTCTCTAATACAATATGTGCAAGAAAGAGGCAGAAAACGCAATTATAACGCAATTTATCCCAACGGCCGGGAGACCCCTATTTTTTAAAATTTTATCCATAACAAATAGCTTAGCCAACTAGTTGAAATTTTACTTGCGCCATTTAATAGAAAAGCCTTTCAAGTATTTTCTGCGAAAATGTCAAATTTTTTGGCGGAAATTTTCTCGATAAACGAGACTATTGAATCGGTGCGAGCAAATATTTTCTTGTGCTATCTTTGTTGATTAAAAAATAATGTAAAAGATGCAATAAAAAAAAATTAAGAGTTCACTGGGGAGACAATTTTATTGGCTTTTTATGGTTTTTTCTCCAAATGGCAATAAGTGCCTTATAATTCGCGCAAATAATTGTTTATTATTGACGGAAATGCATCCCAAACCCGCGTAGTATACGTGATAAAAAACTAAATACGCCTACCATGTTCCCGTGGTTTCCGTTGAACAGTATTGGAAAATGTTGGCTAAGAGTGGGTAAAATATATAATTAATCATTTAAGATTTCACGATTTGATCAATCCGTACCGGTTGGAAATTTATTCATTTTATTTCTCCAAATTGAACTCAGATTTTAAGGCAATATGATTCAGAATTAAGAGGAATTCTCACATCAGCTTATTTAGAAAATTGTTGTTCAGTTTTTGATTTCTCATTTATTTTTTATTAATCACGACCGGCATTTTTCCCAATTTCACCTTTGCCAGACGATTCATGGGACACTCCCCACCTTAGTACCTGTGAAGCCCCCACTAATGCCCCCACTGTGCTAGTACTAAGACCCTTATTATTGAAATGGTTGTAAATTTTATTGGATTTCTAATTCGAGTTCATGGCTCTGGTCCGAGCTACCTGGAGATTGCCCATGCCTGTGCTAGAGCCCAGTCTCGAGGTTTATATTGCCTGGTGCCGAACTGTGTCGAACTGTGTACTTTCTTTGAAGACTCTTGCGTTCTTTCAGCGCTTTACTTTTCTGTGTGATATCACGAGAGTTTTTAACTTTGTTCCATGCCTTCCTCGTTTGGTTTCTCAGGCTTCCAAGCATATTGTTCCACCAGCGAACGTTGATGGTTCCCTCCTGAGTACGAAGAACACAGTTGTCTCCAAAGCAACATCTTACCGCCTCCCCGAAGTACTCGGCCGCGTGTTTCTGTCGCCCTTTTTTGTTGAATCTGCCGGATATATTCTGGATTCGCAAGGAGAGTTTCTCTCTGCAACCGTTCCAATCTGTGTTCTTTGGATTCCTCTGTTTAGCTGTTTAGGTCTGTTTTTCCTCCCAGCCAGGCTCAGACTGACTGTGGTCTGAGCCTGAGGGTTCCTTTAAGACCCCTTCTTTTGAGTCCTTTTTCCATGAGGGTCGGCTTCATTTCTCTACTTACAAGCATGAAATCTTTTTCCAAAATGAAATTGTGTAGGGCTTTACCTCTTGCATTGATGTTGGAGCTCCCTCATCGTCCGTGGTGGGAGATGGCATGGTCTAAAGCGCATCCAAGCAGGAGTTTTAGCCTGTGCTCCTTCAGTTTGTGATGAATATCACGATGTAGTAGAAAATGATAATATAGATTTACTATCACACCTCACATTTTCCCCCATCTATGTCTCTCCTACTAATCGAATGTCAATGATAAAAGAGAGGATAACACAGCTTCGACGCCTGTAGGAGAGAGGACTCATTCTCTTTCCTCACCGAGTAGTCAAATGGCTAAGTAGCCTAATTTTATTGGACGAAGTACTTCTAAATTCACTGCCGTCTTTTTGCCGTAATAATACTGTATGTCCACGGCATTTTCAGGACTCCAAGAGATAATTGTTATCATCTAGTCTCGATTTAAATTCGATGAAACTCACTGTTGAGAAATATTAATTTTTATAACAAAAATATTGAAGGAAAGGACTCGGTCACGGACACGTATTACTTACTTGCAATATAATAAATAAGACATGTATATAATAGAAATATGCAAGCGCTAAAAATAAAAATGAAATGCTTTGATGCGCAGGGAATTCAGATTGTACGTGCGAATCAAATGAGGAAGATGTCGCATTGATGCGCCAACTCCTACAAACATCCGACTGAGCCCGGCCCCGGCGTTCATCATTATTAGGCCGAATCACAGTGTTCAAAACAGTTTTTCACATGAAAAAAAATGATTGAAGATTTCACCATCAACTTGGAAGTAGAAAAATATTTTCGACTATATTTCGGCAATAATAACGGTGTTCAGTTTGTTTAAATTTCGTTCCATGACATTTCCATTCCATTCCCATTTCACAAATTCATCAATGAAGTAACACGTGATGAAGACTTTATTTTTCCGTACATCAACAGCACCTGCGTTGCCTCCAAAGTCCTAGAGGTACACTGAAAGCATCTCCAGACCTTAATTCAACGCCTAGCAGAATATGATTCGATAAGATTCAGTTCTCGCTTCTCATTCCGTCGCGTGTAACCAGTATTCCAGATTAAAAGTATGCGTAGGGTTTTGTTTACGTTAAAATTACTATTATCACAATTAAAATAGTTTTAATTGTTAAAATTACGTCATATTATGTAAAAAAACATTTCACGCAATGCACCGAGAATAGTCAAAAATGGCTTCTACATCGTCGTTCCTGCGTTTATTGAAAATTATTTATTTCACTTCTGTATAAAATGGCATTAAAATTGGGTTAAGGGATTATAAATTCAGTAATTACAATACAAGAAAGGTTAACCGCTTGAGTCATTAGGTTACATATCTCGGGCGTATTGCAATACTTGTTTATACAAAGTGGACTAGAAGTGCTTTAATACCTGGAAATTCTAAAGTACTCTTAGTATTGCTACTGAATATTAGTAATCCGTATAATTGCTCAAGTAACATAATTTCCTATCTTAGAAGCTAAAATTCAATTTACATACCATCATAACAAGTTCCGGTTTTATCGCAGTTAACATCAGCATTCTTAGTGAAATTATTCAATGTAGGATCCTCAGTAGTGTCGATAATGAACGGTAACTCCGCCGCTTCTGCCAACACAATTCATATTAGAATGACATATTCATCTCTCCAGAATAGTATATTTCGCTACACGGGCATTAGAAACTTGTCTGGCGATCTGGCTCACAGTCCGAGGAATGCAAACACCATCGGCAAAAAAGTTGTTTTCGGCCGAGTGATGACGAACATTTTTTGTTATTGAGTCCGTGGACAGGATTTTATGGCCGTACAGCCGCCGTAAATGGCAACTTGACTGACTAAATGAAAAAAAATGACATTATTGAAATATTGAAAACATACTCTCACAGAAATTCTCATAGTAATTGCCAATCCTATCGCCATTATCGATGAGTGGTCTCTCGGCATTGAGATAGGTCGAGGGACCATCGGGTAAAGTCCAATGATCCAGATGGAAAAGGTGACAGTTGTAAGCTGTACCTATTGGTGAACCACGATATAGATAAGATCTGCAAAGAAATTCATTCTCGAGCTCGCAAGCAGATCTGCACGCCGCTTCGGTTTGTACCTGCAGCTCTTTGTCAGTATAGTAGTGGAGACCAGCATATTGAGCAATCTTATCCTCTGCTACTCCAATCCGGGGACTCAAAAAGCTTCTCTGCGACTTGCAGGCGTCTTTGCCTAAATAATCCAGAATTCGTTAATGTATAAAAAATCATAGCGAGTTCTTGCACAAGACAGAAAATGTTTAAGGAAAGGCGCCGGTGAGGTTTCGATATTGCCCGATCTCAATTCGCGGGGCCTCATAAATTTTTGTTATATTATAGATTTTCAAAAATGAAAAATTGGAGGGGGCATTTTTGGTGAAGCATTCGCTGTAAAATGCGAAATATAAGAAAAAACGGCCAGTGTACCCAATTGATTACTTTCAAAGTTTATATTTTAGGGATTTACTCCAAAAATTACATCCCACAATAAGTACGAACCCCTTTCTTTATATTTTACGTTTTCATTATTATACTATTATTTTTCTTCGTCAATAAACGGAGAAATCAGATAAAATCCAACGAATACAATTCCTCAGCCAATGTATAGTGATGTAGAATTTTTTGAGATCTAGTTCATATTGTGTCGTAATTCAGATGAAAATGTACGTAAATTATGTTTGATAACTGTATCGAAAGAGCTGAATTATTGAAAAGAAACGAGTAGTATGGCAGCGTAGATGTAATATATTTCATATGTAGCTGCTCTTCTATTCGTACTTTTTTTCTTTTCATTCAATATTCATCCAACGTATTAGCACTAAAATTCCGAATAGATCCAAATTCTAGGAATACTCAATAAATAAATATTGCAATTTTATAAAGGACCATAGTTGTTGGAGGCAATAAATTTACCCAAAATACTATGAATGAAAATATTGAGTACTCAATATTCTTGGCAAATACTACAGCTTAGTAGCGACAAAGATTTTGATATTCAAAGTGAAGAGCACTATTATAGTACTTGATGATCAGAGACACTAAATTCGTTGTTTCTGATGGAGCATGTAATGCAAAGAATTGGCAATGTCCTGATTCGATGGATATGTGTAATTCCTTCAGTATTCATGAAGAATTCGGAGATAAATGTATGCTCCTATAGATGAGTTATTGAGGTGCCTGCTATAGTACATTTCGGTACGGGTGTGAAACAGTGGTTTTCGCCCACTGTCGTTCGTTATATTCCGCACCAAGCGCGTAATGGGTTTTTTGGTGCTTGGAAAGTCGTAAAACGAGCCGACGGCAAGTTTTATAATCCCGCGAGTTACAAAGCACCAAGTGCCATGAGTTACAAATAGCCCAGAATCCACAATTCTACTGAGCAAAGCGAGATTAGAATCGTGCCATTCTGGACATCTATGGCATAAATTCCATGCTTCTAAGTTTTAATCTCTTATTTATATTTCTAAGTATCCCAGAGTTGTCAGAAGACGGCGTCTTTCGTTCTCTCCTTTGAACCCAGATCGCAGTCCGAACTTCTCAATAGAGAGTATTATAAGTAAAGGTGGCATGGTGGTAACTCATAATAACCCATTATAGGACGTCTTACTGGGTTATTGGAGATCAGATGTCAGCAAGGTGCTTCATTCTCAAGTGTATTGAGTGCGCGTCATCGTGTGATTCATGCTCAGGTACTAATGGGCCAGCTTCCAGTGGCTCGTCACTGATCGGCCAGGGCTTCTTTTTTAACACTGTTATGGGTTAAGTCAAATCAGTCTCGATGAAAACGTTTAAAGGACCTGGTTATAATACCCAAAAAGGCTGATTCGTAATCTTCGTGTACATGGCCATGTCCACACCTCATTTAGAAGGCATCATAGATCATTCAGCTGATGGATTCATCACTGCGTACAGGAGGTTCGTGACTCATCATCGTCGAATTTCGTCGATGCTGGCAAGGAACTGAAGAGGCTATTCCCTACTAAATTGACGGAGTTCCAATCTGTTCACTGTCTTTCTAAAGGAAGCAACGCGCTCGAGTTTTAATCGACTGAAGCCCCCCCACCCAAATTTTTCAGGAGTTCAGGGTTAGGTGGAGGGAATAAAACTAATTGAGGAAGGAATCGCGGCGGTCTACTAAGCGCGCCGCGAGGAGGGGTGATTAATATTGCCATCCGGTGTGGAAGTGAGGAACTCCGTCCGCGAAATCTTCCGGGATGAACAGTCTGGTTGCGAGTGCCAGCACCCCGAAAGGGATCCGTGAGGTATTTCGGATACCCTTTAAGGGTCAAACGTCAGTAGGGGTGTTATGTGTGTTATGTGTATTTTTTCCACTCCGCTCCGCTCACTGTTGAGCGAGAACTTCGGCCCAACGGCATGAAAATTCCCGTTTCGAAAATCGGAGATATCTCGATCCCCGTACGCGGTGGAAATCCCCAATTTTGGGGAAAGGTTTGCGAGTTATCCCCCTCGGTGGCAGAGTCTACCCGGAAGCAATCGGGTGCGCTGTCAAGACTGTATAAAATCAAAACCTTTGAAAAATTATTAGAACGCGTGCCGTGTACGTTGGGCGTAGCACTATCTCTCTTGCGCGCATTATTCCTATCTCTCTCGTTTACTCTCATCGCCTCTTCTACGTCCTCTCCGAGGATTTTCTCGATGATATTCTAATCTCTCTTTGATTGGCGTTCTTTTAATAGCTTATCCTCAAAATTTATTATACTCCTCGGTCTTTTAAAAACTCAAGCGGGAATTATTTTGGGGTCCCATCACTTTTGGAATAATCCCGAGCCTCCCTAAAGGTTTTCCGGAACTACGTGGGGGTTTTTCAGGATTAACATTTGTAATTAATTATTTCTACGGGGCTCTGGATTATTTCAGGAAATTCCGAGCATCGTCAGATGTCTCGCGGAATTAATTGGGGGTTCTTTCTGTCATAGCGTTGACGTCGGTCAGCTGGGAAAAATCCGGCCCACCGTTTGTCGAGTTATTGAATAAAATACTAAATTTTGAGAAGAGTTTAATAGAGTTCTAGCCCTCTATTTTTGGAAAATTTTCGCCCTTTTCCCCGAATCCGCCCCTCTCTCCACAACCATTGCTTTCCTGAGTAGCATAGGCATCCGTTACCTCTCCCTTAACCCCTTCTCTGAGCTAGATTAAGTAAGTTTTAAAGTCCCGCTTCTGATTTTTGATCTAATTCCTCAACATCAGAAAATTAGCTGGCGCCCGGCAACCTTTTTCTAGCTCCCGACTTTTGTGTGCTTTTCGTATCGGCGAGGAGGCTATAGGGAGGAAGGGTGAAGGTGATGAGTATTTGCGGCCGTTAGAAAATGTCACGTCACAAATATTACCGAATTATCTCGACGTTTGATTTGTCTCTAGATAGCAACTAATTCAATAGAGGCTGCAGTGATTGTAGAGGTAATGGTCTGTAGGATACCTGCAGCAGCTGCAGTTTATCTGTAAGTGGCATCATCCCTCCCACGGCATTCGCATGTGATCTCTATTTCATCTCTTCGATGAAAGCTCCCTGGTACCGAAGTGGTCTCTCGCTCGCGTCAGAGCTCTACCTCCGGTAAATGAGAGCGTCTCCAGAGTTGTGATAATCAGAACCGCGTCGACAATATTGACGAAATCGATTTCCATATTGGTTGCGATGCCAATTGACCTACCAGTTGACATGTTGCTCATCGCTGTTGGTTTAGTTGAGCGGCTGACGGAGGGAGAATGTAGAAGCAACAGTTTCATTAGTTACTGAGGCAGTCCGCTGGCACCTCTTTTATTTGATCAACCGTGAACCAATTAATATCAATCTCATATAGGGATTGTTTTATAATTCTCGCCAAAATACTATGAATTTGAACATAATAGGGTGTAAATGTGCTTCAGTAAATGTCTACAGGTCTTTAGGATATACATGCTTTCCCTCATATGGCCCTTTGAAATAACTTTCTGGTTCTTTTTAAATTTCTCGAGTCCATGAAGTCTTTGAAAAAAAAAGGTCAAACATGTGACGTAAGTCTAAAATTAACATGGCACAATAAATCCAACTCGAAATTTTATTCTTGCGTCCTTTGAAAGCTATAAAAGGATCTTTATCTATTCAACTCTTATTATTTGTTGTGTCTAATGTTCAGAAAACGTTGAATGCATCAATAACGGTCGGTAGCTAACAACTTCCGACTGCCTACGAAATCACTTTGAAATTATAAAAAATCTCATAGATTTGACCCAGAAGACAACATTCTTCGCTATTTACTGTACACAATCAATTTTTGGAGCAAAGTTTCTTGATAGGTCTGCCTCGAATCCAGTTGTTATCATAGTGTAAGTGCTGTTCCTTCGCACTCGAGTAGGAAGCAATGCAGTAGCTTCATTGAGTAGACTATTGAGTAGAGTTGATTAAGAGTGGAAAATTTAATAACATATTTGTATCCTTGGAAAACATATATATTCCTATTTTTTCTTCCAACGATATGAGTATGCTATTAGGATCTGCTATAGTAGTTTTATTATTCATTAATTAATCGATATCTTATTCATTAAATTAATCTTCCAGCTCGATAGGAAATTTTTCAACCTGCACTTCGTTAACTATTTATTCAATTCGATGAAGTAAGTCATTTTCGGCATCATTACAAACAATTCCAACACAATGGATATTTGCTGATGTATCTTATTATATCTTTAAAATCATTTCCTTATTTGTTGGAATTCAATTGCTCATTATTGAGAAGAAAATACGATGTAGGTTTTTTTTCCTGTGTAACATTGCCCTAAAAATGTATTCTTCACGCATTCGGACATTTTTTTCTGTAAAACAATTTAGGTAATATCGTGATTGAAATTCAATAGTTCACGATGAAATTGAAATTGGCATGTTGGTAAACTTAACAGCTAAAAGGGTCAGCACGCTTTTAGAAGTCACCAGAGTCATCGGCATGGACTCGGATGGGTGATGCAGATTCTATAATGAAGCAAAAGAGGACAGTCTACACATCCTATGTGACTGTCTGGCTGTAACAGCGACGCAAATCAAATCGCGAACAAGGATGCATCAGAACTGTTAATGCTGGCAACACAGGCCGGGCTGGAAATATAATCCGCGCATAAAACAAGCGGCGGTACAATAACTCCAATCTGAGTTTGGTGGCATTGAATAGGCTAGTCCAACCATCCGCGAACCCTAATCTAATGTAAATCTAATCTAGACATCACCCAACGTCGTTAAAAAAGAGAAAAAATTACTCTCCTCGTGTTGTCAAGATTTCATATTCAAGAAAGATTCCATTTTTCAAAAGCACGGAAAATTTGTAATTTTTTGGGCCAGTTTAAGTGACTTAAAGAAATGAGTGTAAATGTCAGTGGTGATGAGAATTGAAAAAATAATTGCCGATGAAATTTTTGTCTTTCAAGTTCAAGAGAATTCTGCTTTCATTTTCAGCAATGAGTGTTGAATCTGAACCATCATATAACAGTTAAATTTGCTATTTCTCATGGTTAATGAGATAATTAATAATTAAACAATTGTCGCGCAAATGGACAGAGGGATCGCTGTGATTTTCGGATTAATCGGTCGAAACACGCTCGTCATCAATTTCCTCATAAACAATGGGGTTTCGGAGATTTTTCCATAAATTATTTTTTGTCGCAAATCGAATTTGC